GGGCTGTGTACTTTTGCATTCATAAAGTATGCTATCAATTGTAGACCCCCCTGCGTCTATAACGGTAAACATAGTCTTCTCCTCCAGCCATCTCATACCGCTTGTATGTGCTAGCACGTAGTGGACAGAGGCCTCTCCTTCCGTAATAAACTCGATTCTTTCGTCTGCGTTGCTTTGACTAACGAGCCCAGTGTTGATAACCGCTTCACGAATGAAGGCTTGTTGCGATATATCCCACCCGTTAGGGATGCAAAATATCATCACAATCGAGCTTTCCAATCTTCCCCAGACATTTTGGCCGTTGGGCAAGGTTTCCTTAAAGAATTTCTTGGTCATAGTGTACAAATACTGAATGAACTCTGAGTATATTTGGCTTAAAGTGGTGTTTTGTGGTAATTCCGGTATCTCGATTTGTGAAAATTCTTCGAGGCTTCCGTAGGAAGGCGGAAGATCAGACACTTTCATTGACTCCGGATGAAGATGAAGCTGTTTTATCGCTATCAGGTCATTGCCATGATAGAAATATATGCGACATACTTTAAACCATGTAGCTATTTCGTAATCTTCATCATCCATATAATCACGTGCTTCTGCTCCGAACGCCTGTGCTTTGCCATTCTGATACGCAATGATAGTCGGTATCTATTGAGATGTAGTGAGTGGTGAGGTATTCTACCGGCCAGCACCAACCTTCGAATCTCCGCTTGACTCAGGCTGGCCTGGCCATCTTACGACCTAAGTAGAGTAAATGATATGTGTTGGGATGACTTGGGATGTCACAGTCCACTCACAGTCCGGACCTCAGGGTACTCTCCCGGATACACGTAGGAAAAAGAAACAGCGCCTGGATCAACAGAAATGCCCATTAATACTTCCATTTATCCATCTAGACGGTTGTAGGTATTCTCACTCTGCGTCGTGCCAATGTCAAAGCCAATCAGTATGTTCTCCGGGCCTTCATGTGGCTTGTCACTCTTGTATGCAGCCATGCGTATGTTCCAAAGATATAACGTCCACAGTACTCTTGTAACGTCTACTCCGTTAAGGCCGGGTGTAGTGACGACTATAGTCTCAAGGTAGTGGAGAGGGAATTGGACTGCCTAGTCTCTTCTCCTCTTATACACCGCAACGGCGCCTGCCAATTCAGATGTCTGGCACTGCTTTTGGAGGCTGGCTGCTCATGTACAGCTTTAGGCTACTATTGGTATATGATGTTAAATCCTACATGCTTCATGCCACTCAAGGCTCTGAATACATGAGGTTGGGGCACGTAAGTCTTCTCCGTCCTCACGAGAAAGATCCACTCGCACCATAGTTTTCTATACAATGCATCAAGTTCGACTAAATCCGAGATCTATCATTTATATGATACCCGTATGTCTAAAAAAAGTCACGTTATATGACAGGCTAAGCGGATTACCAGATGGCCTGTCCGAGTAAAGAACAGGATAAATCTACAGCGACATTCCATGTCCAAACTAACAAAGAAAAGATAAATATATGCTCTAGGAAGAACCTAGATATATCATTGAACCCGATA